GATATACATGAAACTAACGTTTACTAAGCTGGAGGCCAGCAAAGTTTCCAGGGAAGCTCACCGCCTTCTTTTTCTATCAAGGTTGTTAGTGAGCAAAAATACAGAGAGAAATAAAGAAACAAAGAACATTCCTAATAACAATAAGAAACTTGATATTTGCTTAAGAATAGAAGACTCTACAATACCATTTAAAACCTCCTAACATATGTTGCCTATAGGAAAACCCTACAGCTATATGGGCTCAGGTCTTTTCCTCATGGTCTATTTGACATTCCTCTGTAGTTTGATTTCAAAGAAGCCATTTCTTGCATTTTCTTGCTAAGCATGAGATAACATCACTCACTAGAGGAATACTGTCAAGTCTTTGCTCAGAAATGGTTTTGTTTCAGTGGCAGGGGGATGACTTTGGTTAACTGAAATCTTTGGGAATGAAGTTTGCCACATAAATGAAGGAGGGGGGAATATTACTACAGTTATCGTGGTCTCATCCAAAAGAAAAATAATCCAGGGTTTTGTTTTTTTTTCCGGTATGTCCTTGTGATTCTATGGTTCAGCTCAATGTCCTTTAGGTAACCTCTGTACAACATTAACAATGATGCTTTGGGAACAATTATTTCCTTGCTCTCTGACTTCTGTAAATGGCTCCTTTTTCTCTCATTAGTCTCTTCAAATTTCAGAAGTAGGATCACAAGCTTTTAGGAATTTTTAAGAAAACATAAAAGCTCCATTCCAGAGTTGGGTGAGAATTAAGAAGGCCACATTTTGAATAGCTTAAGACTTTTCATCCACAGTCCCTTGTTGTTTTGCTAATTAGCAATGGCACTTCTGTGTGGATTTCTGGATCTCCCGGGGAGATTTCACTGCACGATCAAAGAAAGATGAGATAGGCTCAAAGTAGAATGCTTTTTAACAGACATTTCTAATGAAAAAAAAAAATCTTTGCAAATAAATATGTGGGAGAGACGCATAAATAGTATTGCACCTGGATCTGTATTTCAATAAGATATCTTGAGCTATCTCCCTCTGAGAGGGAGTCTCATTTAACAACCTGGTCCAGATTACAGACTGTTTGGGAACCAACAGAGAGAAAGAAGGCTAGGCAATAAACAAATCTATAAAGACAAATAAATGGACTATAGATCTGTAGCCCCAGTGCCTCCTAGAAATAACTTCTTTTAAGTCTTCCTGATAATGCTATCGGTTTTTGGGTTTATGTCAGAAAGCCAATTTGCTTGAGTTGACGATAATTTTTGGCCATCCTAGCTGCAAGCTGCCTGGGCATTTTGTATGGCATCTAATACCTAGTGTGTATCTAGTATGGCATCTAGCCATACTAAAGTCAAGGCTGCTCTAAACCTATAATCTACCACCTGGACCATAGGGCAGGGGGGGAGTCCAGGGCCATTCTAAAGGTATAGGCTGAAGCAAAATTAATACAGGTGTCCTGGTTACCCTTACAGCTGCCCCAGAGTATCACCTTTTGACTCAGGATAGTTCTGACAGTTGGAATAATCTAGTTGAGGGATATGTGTATATTTTATAACTATACCAGGAAGTTCTAGTCTTGGCAATAGGAGCATGTTGTAGGGGACAGAGAATTGTACATGGAGTCACAAAAACCCGGGTTCCAATCCTGCCTCATATGTTTCCTAGAGCTATGACTCTGGACAGGCCATTGAATGTCTCTAGGCCTCAATTTACTCATCTATTAACTGAGGGGTTGAACTCGATGACCTCTGAAGTACTCTCCAGTTCTAAATCTATGACTGCATGATCTATGAGCCTATGGCCACAAAGGGATTTGAAACAAACTAGATTCTGAGCAAATTGTAGGGGTTGCATGTGGTAAAGAGAGTATGTGGCCATAGAAAGAGCCCAGGATTTAGTATCAAAAGTCCTGAGTTCATGTCCCAGCTATGAAATGAAGAGTTGGACTAGATTATGCTGAAGGTTCCTTTTAGCTCTTAAATCTTATGATCCCATTTTCTTTCAGAACATACGTAAACTGGGGGTAGCTAAGTGGTGCAGTGGATAGAGCTCTGGCCTTGGAGTAAGGAGGACCTGAGTTCAAATCCAGCTTCAGACACTTGATACTTATTAGCTGTGTGACCCTGAGCAAGTCACTTAACCCAGATTACCTCACCAAAAAAGCAAAAATTAATAAAAAACAACATAGCTCTTAAATCTTACAGTCACATTTTCTTTCGAAACGTACATACACTGGAGACGGCTAGGTGGTGCAGTGGATGGAGCTCTGGCCTTGGAGCCAGGAGGACTTGAGTTCAAATCCAGCCTCAGACACTTGACACTTATTAACTGTGTGACCCTGGGCAAGTCACTTAACCCTGATTGCCTCATCAAAAAAGCAAACATTTAAAAAAGAAAAACATACATACACTGAGTGGCTGCTTTATAGAACAATTGTCTTTTATGGATCAGTCATTGATTTTGTAGATAATTTGTTCTTATAATGTCTCTGCGAGAGAGTGAGCTAATTTTCTCATCTGCATTGATATTTGCCACCATTTAAAGTGGAGCTTAATTCCACCAAGGAAAGAAAAAAGCCACAAGGAAGGTATTTTGGAATCCTTGGCCAGTGGTTACAAATTTCCAGATGTAAAATGACCATGTTTCTTATTATATATCTTTATCTTCATATTTATTCACATGCTATCTCCTCCATTAGAACGTTAGCTCTCTGAGAGCAGGAACCATGTTTTTGCCTTTCTTTGCAATCCCTAGCCTGGCATACAGTGATCCTTAATAAATGCTTGTTTATTGGCTGACTCATCTTTTCATTTACATTGTTATAGACCTTATGCTGTTCTTTTGCTTCTGCTCATTTTGCTCTGTGTAAGTGCGTCTTTCTGTTTCTCTGAATTCTTCATTTTCACCATTTCTTAATATACAACAACATTCCTTTCCATGTATATACAGTAGCTTTTTTAGCCTTTCCTCAATTGATGGGTACCGATCTTTGCTTCCACAGAGTATTGCTCTGACTGTTTTTGTATATATTGGACTTTTGTTTCTGTCTTTGACTTCCTTGGCAGTATCTTCCTAGTAATTTAATTATACTTACTGTGAGATATGTTTCATTATTATGTCACATAATAACAATAATACCTGAAAAAACTGGAAATCACCTACATATCCAGTAATTGGATAGTAGCTAAATAAATTATGCCTTACTAATTTAACAGAATACACTGGTGCCAGAAAAACGATAAATATGAACAGCACAAGAAAATATAGAGAAAAACCTATATGAAGTAATAGGAAGCAAGACTGGTAGAACAGAAGCTATATGATGACTACAACTATAAGCATATGTACAATGCATACTCATAATATACACATGCATAAACACACAATACACATACATATAGAAACAGACATATTCATACATATATATAAAATATACATATACAGAATAAACAAAAATGAAAGGCAATAAAAGCTCATTGTTATTGTGCTTTGTTTGCAAATTGTCACATCAGCCCTGTGAGGTATTATTCCGAATGAGGAAACTGAAATTTAAATCACTTGCTCAAGAGGATACAACAATAATTATCAACCCTGATTTCAATCTAGGTCTGACCCCAAGGCCGGTACTCTTTCCACTAAATCGCTAGCCTCTCAGCACAACTTCACACAGACTTGGAAGGTGAGACAGAGAAACATATTTTTTACTTAATGCTTTGTTAATTTAGTTCTACTTTATTAAGTGCTAAGAATCTTATATAAGATGTAATCCTCATTTTATATGTTTACTTGATTAGTGGCACTGTGGATACAGAGCTGGCCTTGGTGTTAGGAAGATGAGGGTTCAAATCCTGCCTCTGACCCCCACTGGCCACATGATCCTGGGCAAGCCATTGTCACTTCTAAGCAACTATCTAAGACTGCAAGTTGTAAAGAGGGGCCATGCTTTCCTGGAAGAGAGTTTCCTTACCCGTTGAAAACCCCCGTCCAGGCCTCATTTGATTGTTTTCTTTAACTATTTTTGCCTTAAGGCTTTCTCCACTCTAATTCATACTCCACCCAGCTACCAAAGTGATTTTGTCTAAGTGCAGGTCAGTCAATATCACTTCCTGCTCAGTAAACTCCAGAAGTTCAAAATTGCCTCTAGGATAAACTACAAAACGCTTCTCTTGGGCTTTTAAAGCCCTTTACAGTGGTTATGTTTATATGGCTCTGATTGCTTCCAAGGTATTCATCAGTATGGTATAAAGGAAAGCTCAGTGGCTTTAAGGTCAGAGGACCTAACTTAAATCTTGCCTTTCATATTTTTCATTTTTCCTCCCAATCCTTTTTCTGATGGGAAAACCATGTCTCATCTTGGAACTTCCTTTAGCACTTGAGGCCTCTTTGTTCTGGAACACCCAACCATCCCTGGGGTCTTCTCAATCCAGAATGTCCCTCCCATCAGGCCTGCCCCTTGTCCTACTGGTGAGTTTCTCCTGGGGCTTCCATTTTGAGGAGGGGCCCAAGCTAGCCTTTACTCTTCTTCTAGCCCTATTTCTGACTTCAAAAATATGGTCTTCCTTCTCCCCACACCTTTCAGCTCCTTCCTCCATTAGAAGGTAAGCTCCTTGAGGGCAGGGATAATCTTTCCTTTTTGCTTGTATTAGTATCCCCATCACTTAGCATAATGCCTGGTACATACCAAATGCTTGATACATAACTGTTTCCTTATTTCCTTACCTGTGTGCCCTTCGTCTCCCTGCCCTTCAGTGTCCTCATCTGTAAGGGGAAGGGGCTGGACCAGATTGCCCCTGAGGTCCCTTCTGGCCCTAGCTCAATGACCCCATGATTAGCCTGTCCCTGCACTTATCAGCTGCCTCATTTTCCTGACTCCTCTAAACTCTAATTACGTGAACTGTTGATGTCAACTTCCATATCTGTCACATCATCCCATTCTTCTGGAACTTCCTATTAACCCCTAAATCACAAACTTTCCTTTATATTTCAGCATGTTCACTAAGGAGATTGCTCACCTGGTGGTTTTCCAAGTTAATCCTGGCTAAGAGCTCCTGCTGTTTTTTCTTTTTTTCTTTTGCTACTTTTTCTTCATTCAGTAAAACTTGAGTGTTTTGGAAGGATACTTTTTCTAGACGTTTCTGAGATTTCTCTTCTTGCTTCTTCCTCTCACTGGAAACAAAACAACAAAAACAACAGCCACCAACACCACCAACAGTGCTAACTAGGGAGGGTCACATAGTGTCACCTAGTGAAAACACCACTGAGCCCTGTAATAAGGAAATGAAGGTTCTGCGCTCTGATTCTGTCACTGACTGGGTGGTCTTGGGCAGGCCACTTCATCTCAGTTCTCTCATTGATGAGATTAAGATAATACCTGCCTTACCTACCTCCAAGGTTTGTTGTGCTGATCAAATAATATCATAGGTATACAATTGCTTTGAAAAGTATAAAATGTCACATAAATCTAACATATATTATTGATGGGAATTTTTTTTAAATTTATAGATACTGGTCATCGAGTGTTTAAAATAAATGACTACATATTTATGTTTACTCTAAAATAAGTTCTACATCTTTTGGTAAGAAGAATAGATTTCCTCAGTAAGGAGGGAATAAAATATTTATCAAAGGACTTTTGCAAGGTTATAAGGTAGAGAGAAATAATAGAAAGAAAGCAAAGTGTTAATAAGTGAGGAAATGATGGAATCCAGGAATGTTCTGAAACAGCCAAGCTATTGAACTACACAAAAAGAAAAATCAGATCTTAACAGGAACTCAGAAAAGCCCCCTAGGCAATCTCAAGAAGTAACTAGCATGCTGTGACTGATTTGGTACCTACTCATTCCTCCTACCTATGCCCTCTCACATTGTTCTTTTTCATCCTTCCAGTCTAACCATTATCACTGGCTCTCCCATTTACCAGGAACAAGGACCCCACCCCCTCCCTAGCCCCTCTTTACTTTTCAGCATTTCTAAGTATGTGCATTCTTCCCTTAGATGGGGAAGGGACATGTAATGAGAGTGTTAGACTACATGACCCCCTAAGGTCCCTTGTAGTTCTAAATTTATGATGCTATCATTCTATTTGGGGGTGTTGGAGAGTGTTTGTGATGGGAGGTGCATATACATGGGTACGTGCTCTGTGTGTGTGTGTGTGTGTGTGTGTGTGCGTGTGTGTATTTTTTGTTGTGTCTGTGGATGAGAAAGGGTGTATATGTAGGGAGCAAAGTATACATTCTAACTCATTAGTTTGTGAATGGAGATTGTAGAATAGTAGACAGATGAGATAAGATTGTTGACTAGGTCAAAATGCTGGTCCCTAACCACATAAAACAAAAATCTTAGCACAACACAACTACTTTTAAAATTTGCAAAATGCTTTACAAATATTATCTCATTTTATCCTCACAACTCTGGGAGTTAGATGCTATCATTGGCTTCATTTTACAGATGAGGAAAGTGAGGCACAGAAAGGTTAAGAGACTTGCCCAGGGTTGCACAGGTAGTGTCTAAGGCTGGATTTGAACTCAGGTCTTCCTGACTCCAGGTGCTATGCTTTATCCACTGTTACCTGCCTTTAAATACCAGCTATACAAATATTATAAAACTTCAGTGGATCAGTATAGACACTCCCTCCCTTGGTATAGATTACAGTCCATCCATGCCTTCTCATCCTTTGTGATTCTCATCCATGTTCTTCCATAGATCCTCCACAGAGGACTCGCCCAATGAGGGAAGCTTTCCTCTACACTTTCTTATATTTTGTGGCTACCAGTACTACCCACCAACAGACGGCCTTAGCTCTGGCTACTGGGTGGCTCCACCTTCTTTTTATAATTCTCTTAATGACAGGGAGAGAGGGGGAGGAGAGGGCATAATTTAGGCAATGTAGAAAAATTATCAATACTTATTAATTTTTTAAAAATATCCATTATGCCATGATTTCTGTGCAAGTTATGACCGGAAATACACTGCAGCCTATTTGTATTTTACAAGCCTCTCTCCATGGTCCTCCGGATCACTGGCAGCTTTGATATCTCTTCTATTGGTATATCTCAAGATTTGCCATCATACAGCATTACCAGGAGAACATTTGTGTTAAAAAAAAAAAGTTTAGTCTTTCCAATGGGAAGAAGTTTGGGATCATTAAAAGCCTTGTGAAATTCCCCAAATGCAAGGCAGCCCTCTGTCTTCCTCCAGTTTAATTCTGGGTTCAACTTATTATCCATCTGCAGTGCAGGGTGACCCAAAAGACAGTGCACTCTTAAGAGCCATCGATCTATGATCTATCTATCTATCTACCTACCTACCTACCTGTCTTTTCACATATCTATCTTTCTTGATCTCTGTCTCTTTCTACCTATCTATTTATCTATCTATATTTCTAACTATCTACAGATGGATAGTAATTTTTTCATCCATTTAGTTTTTCCTAGACAGCCTATTAGGCTGATCCGTTTTTGAGTATTCATACATCTCATTGAGGAGGCCTTGTAATGTTATGGGGCTTGATGCAATCAGCATAATATCATCTACAAATAGGGGCAGCAAAAAGACCTTGCCCCTTTTCATCTGAATGCTGCACAAAACATCCTCTATGCCAGAAGTGAACACCTTCGTTGAATATGCATTGCCTTGTGTTATGTCTCATTTGACATGAATAATTAGAGAATAATTGATCAATTATCCTTGTGGTTGTATTTATCAAAGAATTATGCCTATTTTAAATATTTGCAGTATTTTCTACTTGTTGGAGGAGAGCTTTATCATTTTAGAAAGGCTGCCTGTTTCCTTCTCATATTTTCACAGAGGATACTTTTGATATGCCTGTAAAACAGTCTCAGATTTTATAGAGATAAGAAGATAGGAATATGGGCCAGCAGCTATTGCTGTTGTCTGGGTTGCCTTTTTGGAGTATTCATATTATTTGTGATCTTTCCCATTCTTTTGGAATCTTCTTGCTGAGATCTTATGAAATAATCTCTTAAAGCTTGCAAGATTAGGTAGCCTCCAATTTGCATTTCCCTCATTGTGCTCTTGGTCTGGTCCAGCTGCTCTTCCCAACTTGGTCTTCTAAAATGCCTACTTCTTCATATATCTATGCGCACGCATGTATATGTACGTGTGTGTGTGTGTGTGTGTGTGTCTATACACAGTGTAAATGGAAGGTGGTCTCAGAGGGAAGTCACTGGCATAAGGTGGGGAGGGTTAGAGGAAGGCTTCTTGCAGACAGGATTTGGCTGGGTCTTGAAGCTAGGGAACCCGGCAGGCAGAGGAGAGACAGCATCTCAGGCACAGAGGAGAGCACGCGAAAATGCACAGAGCTGGGGGACGGAGTGTCACGTGCAAGAAATATAAAGAAAGCCAGCGCTGGATCACAGAGTACATGGGCAGAAAGTAACCTGTAAGAAGACTAGAAAGGCAGGAAGGCACCATATTGTGAAGGGCTTTAAAAGCCAAATAGAGTATTTTATACGTCATCCCAGGGGCAATAGGGAGTCACCTGGTGAGACCCATGACCACTTTGGCAGCTGAATGAAGGATGGACTAGAAGGGAGGAAGACTTGAGATAAGATAAGAAGGCTACTGCAATAGTCCAGGCTTTGGGGTGTACCAGAGTGGGCTGTGTGACTGGAGAAGGGGATGTTAATGATAAAAATAATAACTAACATTTATATAGTACCTACCATGTGCCAGGTCCTGTGCTAAGAGCTTTACAATCCTTATCTCATTTGATCTTCACAACCACTCTGGGAGGTAGGTGCTATTATCATCTCCAGTTTACAGATGTATATGAGATATGTTGTTAAAGTAGAAATAAGGTTTGGGGGCGGCGAGGTGGCTCAGTGGATCGAGCACCAGCTCTGGAGTCAGGAGGACCTGAGTTCAAATCTGGCCTCAGAGACTTACTGTGTGACCCTGGGCAAGTCACTTAACCCCCCACTGCCTCCAAAATTAAAAAAAAAAGTGGAAATAAGAAGACTTGGCAATAGTTTGGCTATATGGGTTGAGAACAAGTGAAGAGTGAGCATGACACTGAAGTTGAAAGCTTGGATGACTAGGAGTATGGTGGTGCTCTTGACAGTAAGAGACAAGTTGGGAAGAGAGGAAGGTTTGGGAAGAATGACAATGAGTTCTGGTTTTTGACGTACTGAATATGAGTTGCCTACAGAGTATCCATTTTGAGATGGGTCCAAAAGGCAGTTGGTGATGTGAGACTAGCGCTCAGGAGAGATATCAGGGCTGGATATATGAATCTATATCTACATCTACATGTAGATGTGTGTCTATATCTATATCTATCTATCCATCTATACACACACATATTGCTGATGAGATCACCAAGTGAGATGGTAGAGAGTAGAGAGAAGATAGAAGACAGAAGAGAAGAGGGCTCAGGAGAGAGCTTTAGGAGACACCCATGTTTAGTTAGAGTGATCTGGATGCAGATCCAGCAAAGGCAACTAAGAAGGAGCAATTGGACAGGTAGAAGAACCAGCAAAGATGAAGGTCACAAAAACCTAGAGAAAAGACAGTACATAGGAGAAAAGGGTGACCGAAAGTGATCCAAGGTTGAAGAGGCCCAGAGGCCTGAAAATGTCATTAGATCTGGCAGTTAAAGAGATGGATGATCTGGCTTGGTTAGTTCTCATGCCAAGCTCTGTGTATCATTGTTCTTGTCCTGTTGTATTCACTGCTTTATGAAGTGCATTGGTTTGTTTTCTTCTTCCATCTTCCTCCATTCTTAATTATTTTAATTCTGTATTGCCCTTGGCTGCTATCTCTCTCCACCTGGCAAGGTGATGACACTTTTGCTGGCTAATGAAGCTTAGGGCAGCTGGGTGATGCAGCAGATAGATCGCTAGATCTGGTGTCAGGAAGACCTGAGTTCAAATTTGACCTCAGACATTACTAGTGGTGTAACCCTGTGCAATCACTTAACTCTGTCTGACTTAGTTTCCTTGCCTGTAAAATGATCTGGAGAAGGAAATGGCAAACCACTCCAGTATCTCTGCCAAAAAAACCCAAATGGGATGATGAAGAGTCAGACATGACTGAAACATCTGAACAACAATACAGCTTATGGGCTCTTTTGGTGTTTATGTTGTAGGAATTGTTTTACATTGATGAAACTCGTATAAAAAATAATAATAATCAAGGTGGATTCCTTTGTCACTTCCCATCATTTTGGAACCAACAGTTTATGTGAATAGGTCAGTTTAAAGTGTGACAGTTGTTTGCAGTGTCTCCTCATCTTTAGCCTTTCTTCTAATGTTGATTTTGACCTGTGACCTTGGGCAAGTCACTCCACTTCTGGCTAACTGGCCTAGTCTCTGGACAATCTTTAAGGGCCCATTCCAGTTCCAAAAATCTCTGATCCTATAAATGTAACTCTTTTCTTTCAGGGAAACCAGAGTACTTAACCGACTTTATCTCATTAATTGATATAACACTCTATGAATTAGACAGAAGGCAGGTTACAAACAGGTTAAAAACAAAACCCAAGGATCTGCAAAAATTTTAACAACTCTTCTCACCCTTACTAATGTCATGGAAATTAATGCTGTCTCACACACTAGTGGAGATCTTAGGCATCATAGGGTTCCAGCCCCATGGGTCTTATTTATTACTTAATGCATGATTTATTTTAGGTCCAGTACAACTTCTATCAGAACTAGAACCTAATTTAAAACAGCTGGATTGAGTATATTAAATAGAAACTAGTAACCTGTAAACATAGTTTGAAACCCAGGCAGAACCAGACACAAAGGGAAGGAATCTAAGAGATAATATAGACTCTGGGAGAAGAGCAAGCCCGATGTATAGGCAATTTTGTTTTTAAAAAATTACTACAATGAACTGAACTTTATACAGGAAGAGCTGTTGAATGTTACATTCAATACTATTTACTATGGAGAGTATATTCAAACAACAAATAACTTAGCAGTAACTTGTTCTAAATCCACCCAAGTTACATGTTAGATAGACTAGAGCAGATAAAAAATTAACTGACCAAAACGATGCCACAAAGGCTGATTGGGGTAGAAGAGATGATTAAGCTTTGTTTTTTAAACTCTTATTTCCTAGATTTCTATACTTTCACCTTGTTGATCTGAACAATTTTCAACTCCTTTAGCTAGTTAAGATGCTTTGACAAAATGCATCACCTCTTACATATTGCACTCATTTTTTAGGAAGGGCTATGGAGGATCATGGAACATTAATAAAAGCTCACAATTATAGCCCTTGACAATTTACAAAGTAGTCTGCTCACAGTGACATTGTATGGTAGCTATTACAGTATTACTACTCCCATTTTGTAGATAAGGAAACTGAGGCTTACACTGGTGAAGTGATTTTTCCACTTTTACACATCAGAGATTTGAACTCTGACTCCTAGGTCAAGACTCTTTCCATTTTGGAGATCAGGAACTTTTAAAAAGGGATGTTAGAGATTATCAAAGCCAGCCCCAACATATCACAGATTAGGAATATGAAACTAAGAAAGGTCGAGTGACTTGCCCAAGGTTATACAACCAGTCAGTGCTTGGATAATGCTCCTTATCTCTTACAAAAATTCTTGATTTGTCTCCTTTTTCTGCTGAAGATCTTTTACTTTTATCAATGATAGTAAGAGAACAGTGAATGCTTGACATTCGTACTTACTCTGATACCTCAAGGATCTGTAATTTCGTAAGTGTGATTCATGAGTGATCCCTCTATCAAAGCAGATCACAACCTCTCCATACCTAAGTAGATGGTCTTCATGCATGACTAAGGCTGAAAAAAATTCAACTAGTGATGAAAATTCTGGTAAAGACACTCTTGCAAACTTAGCTAGGCTGGGCCTCGGATAATAAAATCACACAGTCTTGTTTACCTGACCCATACTCAAGTCTTTTCACATGACCCACCAGGACTTTGTACACCATAGCCTCAAGCAATCTGGATCACCATCACACCAGGATGAAGCATTTCACTGGACATACCACATATTAGAAACTACAATACACCCAAAGCCTTAGAGCAACTGTGAAAGGAAAAGCTTGAACCGAGATCCAATTCCATCCTTTCCCACCACCAAGATCTTACATTTTCCATGCTTCCTGAACAGTACACCTTCTCTCAACCATTTGTTTCCGCAGCTTTACCATCTCCTTTTGAATTTCTTCCTCTTCTTTCTTCACCTTCAGAGCCTTCTTTTTTTTCTCTTCTTGTACCAGATACTGAGCTTCTGTGAAGGCTGATTTTTTTAGGGCCTTCTCTGCCCTCTGACGCTCTAATTCCTTTTGTCTTCTTAAACGATTTTCCTTTACCTGTAAGGGAAGAATGCAACGGGAATGGAAGCATTTGGTGGGGCTCATTTTAGGATCATTTTAGACAACTGGAAGTGAACAGGCAAGATCTTTCATCCACCCTTTGAAAGACAGGTACAACAGAGTAGGGATTGTGACGTGTAAATGAAAAAAAATGTGGTATTAATATACAATGTATCAAATTCTAAAAATTCTGGCTTAAGAAGTCACTGGAAAAGTCAATAGTGGTATTTTAGAGAACACCTGGAAGAAATAAGTGGGAGTTGGTTTATTAGGGTTTGAGGCAGCTTCATTTGAAATCTCTTAACTCCTGACTTAGTCCGGTACTCTTTCTACTTGAGACATCAGGAAATTTTATAATGAGACTTCAAAATATTTGGGAAGATTCTGTGTCTAATGAATCACATCCAGAGTCCTGAATTCTAAATGTTCCTCACTCACCCACTCACTCTTTCTTTTTTTAAAAGTCAATAAGCATTTATAATATATATTGTCTTTGTTTAGGTTATCTATGTGCTATGGCCCAGAGAAAGGGAACAAGATTCCACTGTGTAGCTATATTACATCACGAAGGATAACCACTTGTTAGCTTAAGTTGTATTCTATGCTTTCTTTACAATTACATGTAGTTATAATTATATTATACATGCTGTCATTTTGTAAAAATGCCTCTGAATCTGGGTGTCACCAAGAAGCCAAAGACATGAAATGCACCTTTGTTGTTTCCAGTACATTTTACCTTTCACAGGCTCTAATAACAGTACAGAAATGAGTATACCTTGGTTCAAACATATGACTAGTGCTAACTGATAAAAGCATAAACCTGTTCCTGCCTACTACATTCCCTCTATTTTCTGGGCCCATCTCTTCTTTTCAAAGATTTTGAGGAAGAAAAATAAGATTCTACCCCCCCTCCACTGCATAATTTCACTTTTGGCAGAAGCAACAGTCTTAAACCTCTGAGGCTCAGTAAAAGCAATAGAAGATCTGTGGACTGTGTTTAATTAAGTCCTGTTCCCAGAAATGAAATGGGAGAGTTTGTTAATAATCTTTAGCTGCTCTTATCAAACTTTCAGAAGCTCTGGAGGGAATTGCTGCTGCTGCTGCTGCTGTTAGTTACAAGAAGACACGATGGAAATTATGCTATGGGCAGCAATGCTTTGAAGGCTTGTCCTGCTGGGCAATTCTTGCTTACATAATTCTCTCTCCCTGGCACCCCCTCTTTCATTTTCATGCTAAAATATTAGAGGGGAGTAGAGGAAATTTTATTTAATTACCCAAAACATGCATTTTTTTGTATCCCCAATACTTAGCACAGTGCCTGACACATAGTAGGTGCTTAATAAATGTTTAATGACTTTTAAAAAAAATGTTTATTAAGCACCCTTTGCATGCCAGGCACAATGCTAAGTGCTCTTGGGAATGCAAAGAAAAATAATAATTTTAAGACATGTTACCTTCAGGTAGTTTATGATTTAGAAGGGCAGATAAGACATGTACAGAAATACTATAATACAATAGCCAACAGGAATCTCAAACTCAACATGTCCAAAATGGAATCCATTATAATGACAATAGCTCGCATCATAGAGTGTTTTTAAGTTTGCAAAGTGCTTTATAGGTTATTTTATTTGATTCCCCCAACACCTGTGAGGAAGGTGATATTATTATTATTATTATTATTACTAGTTTCCTTTTGTAGAAGAGGAAACTGAAGCTTAGAAGTTAAATGATCTGTCCACAGGTCACAAGGCTAGTAAGTATCTGAGGCAAGATCTGAATTCTGACTTCCCACCTAAATCCACCCCTCTTCTAAACTTTCCTCTTGATGTTGAGTGCCCCACCCAGGTTCACAAGATTCTTCCTTCTTCCTTCCCACTCCTATATCCAATCAGTCGCCAATCTTAGTTGATTCCAACTCCATGACTTTTTTTTTTGCATTTGTCCTTCTCTTTCCACTCACACGGTTCCTAACTATTCTTCCTTCTATTTTCTGGGCCCATCACTTCTTCCCAAAGATTTTGAGGAAGAACAATACGATTTTAGCTTAGGACTTCCTAATCAGACCTCCTGTTTGTAGTCTCTCCCCTCCAATCCATCCTCCACACAGACGCCAAAATAATCTTCCCAATGCTCAAGCCTCACCATGTTACTCCCCTAATCAAGAACCTTGTCTCTTGCCTCTAGGATAAAATGGAAACTCCTCAGCTTTGCTTCGAACATCATTGTAAAGGCTTTCCTAACCTGGCTCCGGTCTACATTTTCAGGCTCATTACACATCCCTCCCCTTTACACATTCTGTGCTTGAGCCAAACTGCCTATTTGCAGTTCTTCAAACTTGGTCCTTCATCTTTTCCCCTTGACCATCTGCACAGGCGTCTCCCGTGCCCATAATGTACTTCTGCCCCCTTCACCTTCTTCTTTTCCGGCTCAGCTCGTGTGCCACGTTGTAAGGAAATCTGATCTCCTTAGTTGTTAGTGCTTGCTCCCTCTACAAATGATGAGGGATAGTAGACTCATTGGTTGACGTGTGATATGCCCCCACTGCAAAGGAATTTCAAGGCTAGAGACTGTTTTCGTTTTCCTTTCAGCCTCAGCACCAAACGCAAGGGCTTGCATCTAGCAGGTGCCTAACAAATGCTTTTTACATTGGACTGGAAAACAGGACAAAAGGCAACAGTACATGACAACTTTAAAAAGAGTGGTATGCACCAAGCATTATAGTTCTTCAGAGGAATAAAGGACTAGTGTGACCTAGGACCTTGTCCAATGGAATGAATGCTGAACTTGGAGTCAGGACACCTGATTTTGGAATTCTGGCTTTGTTGCTTAGTAGGTACCTGGACAAGTCACTTAATCTTTCTCAGTCTCTGTTTGTCCATCTGTAAAATGGGGTAATAACAGCACCTGCCAGGGGCAGCTAGGTGGCGCAATGGATAGAGCTTGGGCCTTGGAGTCAGGAGGACCTGAGTTCAAATTCAGCCTCAAACACTTGACACTTACTAGCTGCGTGACCCCGGGCAAGTCACTGAACTCTGATTGCCTCACCAAAAAACTGAAGGGGGGAAAAAAAAAGGAAAGAAAAAAAAATAGCACCTGCCTCCCAGAGTTGCTGTGTGGATCAAATGAGAGAACACATGCAATGGTGCTTTGTAAACCTTAAAGTGATAAATAAATGTTAGCTGTGGTTATTATTGTTGTTGTTATTATTTCCCTTTGACTCCTAGTTTTCTTCATCTATAAAATGAAGGAGTGAGGCTAGATGATCTCCAATTCTAGAAGCCTACCAATCTCTAAGAACTGACACTAGCCGGACCCATCGAAGCATGGGAATGAATTGGCAGGCATGTAGGTCATGAAGATCAAATAAATAACTGACATAAAAGGTTTTGGAAATCTTAAAGTTACAGAAAAGTCAACTGTTATTAACTACATAAATGCAAACGATTATGGTGACAAAAATGCTAACTAATAATAGCCAGCATTTATATAGTGCTTTAAGTTTTGCAAAATGACTTATCATCTTATCCTTTTGTGATGATGAAAGTACTCAGCGTACAGCTCTACCCAGGTACAAGAGAAGACTAACCAGGCTTCCTTTAGACAAAACTACAAAGTCCCCAGTTGCTTCTGACATCTAGCCCATTTCATGCTTTGTCACACAACACAAGTGGGAAGGGCCTGATGTCATCCACAAAGTGACTCAAATGCACTCATCTCTTAGAATCACAATCTCAATGTCCTAAAGCAGAGGTATCAAACTCCCCTACTGCTGCCCAAACCAGATTAAAATGTTAATGGGGAAAGGTTTAACAAAATAAACAAAAATACAATACACTAGACAACGTTAAATTTGTGGTTTTCAAATACGTTTCTATTTGAGTTTGACACCACTGTTATGAATGACCTCGGAGATTATCTAATCCAAACTCTAATTAATACCAATTTATTAACTGCCAGGTTTTTGCACTCTTAAGCCTTTGGACACTAATTGTGGAATTAGAAATAATTTGTAGCTAAAGAAACTCCAGGCAAAAGACAACAGGGGAGGGGAATTAGTGGGCTACCATAATCCTTGCAAAGACATAACACTAAAGCTAGTCTGAATTCAGGTAAACCTACTTTTATCATGTTAAGTTGCTTTGGTAGTAGAGGGGAGGGGAAGAGAAGAGAGAGGTGTTATCATTCCAGTCATGGAAGGCCACATGAGCAAAGCATTTGTGATAACCACCGTTTATGGAGAGGAAGTCTTGGGTTCATTTTCATTGAACATAGCTGAATACACTTAAGGTGCAATGTGAACTTACTACCTTTTCAAATAAGAATCATACAGTTATTAAATTGCACAGACTTAGAAAAGACTCACAAGAGTCTATGTGCTATTCTGGTATGACTATCATAACTCAAAGATCACTTGAAATAAAAGCCTCGAATGTATATTTATAATAAGAGGTACCATACATCAAAGCTAATTCTATCTATCCAGATGAATCTATCTCTCCAGTCTGTTTTCCCACCTCTTTGAGAAATCAAGATCATTTATTCTTTCTTTCTGTTATTCTTATACTGTTAGGGGTGAACTACTCCCCTGTCTTCAGCCCATCCTTTTCCTTTTAGTTCTTAATTTGGCTTTCATTCTAACACAATCACAGATGGTACCCTTATTCATAACAAAGTCTAAATCTTTATTGAAGCTTATTAAATGTGTTACACAAAGAACGTTTCCTGTTATCCATTTCAATTTTGTTGTTTTTTTCCCTCCCACCTGCTTATGTCTCATCTCCATGATAAGACAGGGATCCTTCTGCTTTTTCTTTTCTTGGTTTTCTTTCACTCCATGATCTTCCAATACCCCAGAATCCACTATATCTTTATGGAGAAGATGGTCTATAAATTGTTTCACCGTGGTACTTTCCTCTTCCTCTTCCAAATGACCATACAAATCTGAAAGAAACACAGAGCTGTCATAAGTCTAACATTCTTCACTCCCAGCTCAACTCACTGTCCGGACTGTTCTAGTTCCTCCCAGGGTCCTTAACTGCGTAAGGATGCCTCTGCCCTGAGGCATGCTCTCCTGAGCATGTGAATCCTGGCCAGGAGGATCACTTCTCCAGGGGCCCCAAACAAGCTCACTTCACAACTGGCTCAATTCATTCTCCAGATCACTCTACCTCCTCACCAACAGCCTTGCTTCACAGAGATACCTTCCTCCTCCCTGCTTCCCCACTTTGCAGAGTTCCTTTATGTTTTATCTTCCCATACTAGAATGTAGGCTCCTTAATAGTAGGGACCATCTTGTTTCTTTGTAAATACAAGATCCGCATCCCTAGCACTTAGTATAATGTCTGGTCATAGTAAGCACTTAATAAATCCTTTATTTATCTACATATCGAATAATTACAAATATAGTTTCTTGTAAAAAATAAATGCGCACCTATAAGTCAGCAGTAGAGTCCATAATTTGTTACCTACAACCACAAGGAAACAGATCAATCTTCATTCACCAGAAACCGCACTTTCTGGTGTCAACAATTTGTTCTAATCTTTCTTGAAATCTCCACTCCTTTTACCCTTGGGAGAAATCACTTTTTTCTAACCATGGCCACTAGTTCTGCATCCTGACTCTTTGATTTGTTTGTGGCCTCCCTGACTGTGAGAGATCAGGGTAAATTTAGAATGTGCTATAGTCCCCTATGGATGACAGGAACTGGAGCTTCTGTTTGTTTGGTTTGATTTTCTTTTTTCTGAGGTGACCTGGGAAAAAGAGGCAACCCACATGGCGGGTGGTGGAGGAGCTACACCGTATGGTACAGTTCTGGCCACCCTAACGATTCCAACTATCTTAGAGTAGTTCTGGAGTCTATGAATCAAAGCAGGTTCCCAAGAGAATTTCTAAAGTGGTTTAGAATCTCTGATAAGGGAAAAGAACCAAACTGATCTTTCCTCCAAGGTTATTCCTTGGAGTAGAAGCCATCTTACGAATGAAGCAGATCGCTGACAACCATATCGTTATGGACAAAGCTCATTGGACTGCCACACCCAAGAAGTGCTGATTAATTAAAGACTCAATGTACAGCTTGAAAGGAAGTTTGGAGTCACTTTAAACATTTTTAATAGTGATGACCTTGAAGGAAAAAAAGGTATCCTTCTTAAATTTTCAGTTAGTAGCTTAAGGGATATTTAATACATCTGATGACAGAATTCTGATTAAAAAAAGTTATCTCCAAGTTAGAATAATAGGATGGAATCAACAGAAAAATTTGGCAGACGCCTAAATGTAACTCTTATACTTATGTTCAAAAATCAGTCATGCAAGGAGGAAAACCAGCCTGACAACAGTTTGTGTGAAAAAGATCTAAGATCTTTGCTCATGAGCTTAATCTAATGAGTCAGCTGCGTATACACATGTATGTATATGTATATGTGTGTGTATCTATGTGTGTATATATATATATATATATATATATATATATATGTGTCTACATACACACATACATATATTTCTATCTCAACTCTGAGCAGCACATCAAGAGAAGCACAGCACTGAAATCAAGAGAATTCACGGTCTCACTGTACTCTGTGAATGCCATCTGGAGTACCACTTTCAACACAAGACACTACGCTTTAAGATGAACAACAAATTGGAAGGTACTGAGAAGGTGATCCCAATGTGTCCACAAACCAAGAACAACTGGGGGAACTGAGACCACCTAGCCTGGAGAAGAGAAGATTTAGGAGTGATTTGGTGAGTGCCTTTCAATGCCTGAAGGACTTTGATGTGAAAGACGTTCTGACTTGCTTTAGGGGTGATCTAGAACCACTGGGTGGAACTTATAAGAAGGCAGCTTTTGGCTCACTATGCACATGGGTGGAACTTTTTATTACCCTTTGGAGCTATATGACAATGGAACCAATTGCCCTGAAAAGCACTGAGTTTTGTTTATCATTGGATTTATTCAGTGTCTGGAAGACTACTTGTTAAGGATGTTGTAGAAAAGTACTCCTGAGTAAGAAAAATAGTTTGGTCTAGATGAACTCTAAGGTTCTAAGGCTCCTATAAAATCTAGGCCTTAGACCTAGATATCACAGGATTGTGAGTCAAGGGGTTCTTTTAAACTCTGTAGTGCAGTACTATACTACAGGGAATGCCCAGCAGTGATCTCTATCATCACTCATTGGAAAAAAAAAAAAGGATCACTGAGGGAGACACTCAATATTTGTCAGTCCAATAGTTTAACTTGCTTTTATGATACCTAGCATGGCACTAAGGCAATTAAATGCTATTTGGTGATGGTTCATAAGACATACTCAGAATCAATCTCTTCTTATGAAAAGGGGAAAAAGATTTTCCTTTAAGAATTATTATAAGCAATGATTAAAAAAAACATGAGAAGATAATTTAGGGAAAAATTTTAACTGTTATGATTATAATCAGAATTTGAAAACAATATAATTTTAATTGTAGCTGGAACTAAAATAGTATGATCTTTTGTCTCACAAAGTATCATTAATATGTCCAGGTTATAGCACAAGAAATTTAAATAGAACCAGGATAAATATGACCATTAAAACTAGAAAGAAAACTAAGTAGGACTAAGTAAGACAAAGTCAAATTGTACTTCAAAAAATCCCAAATAATTCAAAGATCATTCAGAGAACTAATTTTAGAGCTTAAAGTCTAGGACTTTTCAGATGTATTCTCACCATCAAAATTTTCATACTTCACAGGATCAACAGTACCATTCTCTTCTGGTGAAGAAGTAACATTGGGCACAGCCTCCTCATCATCTTCTTTATCATTTGTTAATTCCATTTTAAGTTTTGAGTTCATCCAGTCATTAAGCAGTTCCTGAGCTAATAAGAAAACAAAAATACCTTAGTGTTAGTATCAGAAGTTATCTTAGAGGCTATAAGGATAGCGAATCATTTACATTTAAAAGAATTTGGGGGGGGCACTTTATTTTGAACTTGACAAATATCAACAAACATGAGCATTTCCAAATCAAAGACAAAAAAAAAAAACGGATTGAAGACCTGAGTTCATATCTGCCCTCAGACACTTATTGGACAAAGCACTTAACATGTTTGCCTCAGTTTCCTCATCTGGAAAATAGAGATCATAATGGCATCTACAAAATGGGGATAATAATAGCACTTACATCCCAGGGTTGTTGTGAAGATTAAATACAATACTAATTGTAAACCATTTAGCACAATGCCTGGCACATAGTAAACACTATATAAATGTTAACTATTATTATTATTACATGCAACCACAAAATTTTTATGTATACCATACATTTTTAAAAATGCACATAATAAATTCAAAATGGTAATTGAAACTTTAGTTTCAAGACTGTCCTGCTTGTTTGTGTCTCCTGAACCTACTGTATTGTGTATTTAAAAAAATGTGTCAGTGAGGGGCAGCTAGGTGGTGCAGTGGATAGAGCACTGGCCCTAAAGTCAGGAGGACCTGAGTTCAAATCCAGCCCCGGACCAAACACTTGACACTTACTAGCTGTGTGGCCTTGGGCAAGTCATTTAACCCCAATTGCCTAAAAAAAAAAAGTGTCAGTGACCCTCTTTTCTTTTGGTATTACTTCTATAGTTTCTCCTCTCACTCCTAAATTCCTCTCCCAATTTAAAAAGGAAGGGGGAAAAAACCCCTTTCAACAAATAAGCAGAGTAAAGGAAAACAAATCCACTCATTGGCTATGTCTGAAAACACATGGCTCAATCTGCTCATCAAGGTCCTCACCTCTCTGTCAGTGCTGGGTAGCACGCCTCTGTTGTTATGCTTGGTCACTGCACTGGTCAGAGTTCTTAAATCTTTCCAATTTGTTTTTCTTCATAATGCTGCTATTGTACATTCTTAACCGTTCATATAAGCCTTTCCAGGTTTCTCTGAATATGTCCCTTTTGCCATTTTTTTACAATACAATAATATTCCATTCGATTCATATACCATATGGCTATTTCCTAATTGATGGGAACCCTTTAGTTTCCAATTTTTTGCTATAACAAAAAGTGCTGCTATGAAGATTTTTGTACAGATGGGTCCTTTCCTTCTTTCTTTGATCTCCTTAGGGTATAGTCCTACATCCATTTCCATTTAAATTACTTTCATAGTCATCTAAATGCTTCCCTAAACTTTTAACTATAATTTTTCAGCTGTAGGTATCAATTTTTTATTACCATCAACTATGTATGTATATATCTACATGTATGTACACATACACACATATGTAGTTGATGGCAATATAAAATTAAATTACTTTTCCATATACATACATATATATGTGTGTGTATATATATATAATTTACCTACTATGAAAAGATTATGATAGATAATGGAGATATAAACAGGTATAAGAAACAGTCCTTTATTTCAGAGGGCTTCCAATGAAATTGAGGAATCAGGATATGATAGTCAGCACAGTTAGTGCAGGAGGAACAGCAACTATAATTACACCACTTAGAATCCCACTGGACTTGGGATCAGGACATGTGTTCAAATCCTGGTCATGCCACTGACTACCTTTATTACCTTGGGTGAATCACCTAACTTCTACTGAATTAGAAGAATTTTTAAAAGGGAAGGCTTGTTAAAGATTTGTTGGCTCTGCCACAAATCTCTACCTCATAGGGTTATAAACCTTGTGTACCAATTATCTACAAATCATTATTGCAACTACCTACATCAAAGGCAGTTTGTAACCATAAAGTACTATACAAGTATAGGCTATTATGAAGAAGCTTATATTGATACTTTAATGGATCCGTAAGACCACTGAAGTGCATACTCTTTTAACTCATTTATGTTCTATAAATCTACCACAAGGGGGTCGATCCAATGTGCTGGGGGTCTTCCTTTAGGTCTCTTGACATTGGAAGGATAACAATAGAACATGGAGGGTCTCCACTAGTTCTCTCCCATTCTTATTACATTACTGGCCTGCCTCCTGGACCAGTCATAGATCTCTTTGGAGAGAAGTGGGGTCATGGCAGAGCAGACAGTAAGATATCCAAGCTAGGTATGCCCTGGTTTCCTAGTGGAGGGCTGCCTGGGATGTGAAACATCCCTTATCTCTTTCTCATGTTTTCTCTCTCTTTATCTACTGCTTCCTCCCTTGTTGCCTACAACCATCCCCCAGACTTTTTTTCATCTTTAAACAACCTTCACTTGCACCTCAAGCTTCTGTCCAATCTCTCTCCTCCTTTTCATTGCCAAATTCCTAGGAAAAGCTGTCTACACTTGTTGCCTGCACATCCCCACCTCCCCTCCCTTCTCCCGCTCAAGCTCTTGTAATTTGGCTCTTGACACCACTCCCCTACTAAAGGAAATGCTCCATCCAAGATTAACAGTGATCTCTTCGACCCAATATCCTTTTTCACTGATGTCATTCTTCTTGACCTCTTTGCAGTGTGTGACACTGTTGACTACCTGTCTGTCCTAGATGCTCTCTTTCCCCTGGGTTTTTGTGATAGCGCACAGTTGTGGTCCTCTTCCTATATCTATCTGACCACTGCTTCTTGGTCATCTTTGTAGGATTTTCACCCATGTCCCCCTTCCTACGTGGGAGGGTGTTTCAGGGTTCTCGCCCTATATTACTGCAGACGACTCAACTAACTTCTCTGAAGCAGCTGCCTTTATACAACTAAAATGGAGGCAACAGGACTTGGCAGAGTGGGTTGTACCAGAAAGAATTTAGACTTCGAGTCTGTAGGGATTGGGAACAAGGTACAATTAGATGGGCTGATATTGCCAAAGAGAAAGGCCAGCTTTCCTGAAACTGGAGCAAAGGGGGACAGGAAGGAGATAATATCCACATGACTAAATTAGGGCTATTCACTGCAGCAACTGGAATTAGGGCTCTGTGACTTAAAGCAATTTTTAGAAGGGGAGGAGGTTTGGGCCCTCTCTCCCTCTCTCTCTATACTCTCTCAGTGATCTTATCAGCTTCCATGGTCTTAATTGCCATCTCCATGCAGATGGATTTCCAAATCTACATATTCATCTGTTGTCTCTTTCCTGAGTTCCAGTCTTTCATCGCCAACTGCCAACTGGACATTTCCACTCGGATGTCCCATAGGATGCTGGAACTCAGCACATCCAAACCAGAACTCATTATTTTTCCCTTGAAACGCACTCCTCTTTCTAATCCCCTCTTTCTGTCAAAAGGACCATCGTCCTTCTAGGCACCTAGGTTTGCAAACTTGGAGCCAGTCATTCTTGACTCTACTCTTCTCTCTCATCCTCTAATACAATCAGCTACTGAGGCTCATTAATTCTAGTCCCACTATATCTTTCACATTCATCCCCTTCTCTTCATTCATGCGGCGACCACCCTAGTTTGGGTCCTTATAACCTGTGGCCTGGATTATCAGAATGACTTCCTAATTGGGCTTATTGCTTCCCGTCTCTCCCTTTTCCCTTGTCTAATCTACAGAGTCACCAAATTGATGTTCCTAAAGCACGTCATCTCCTCTTGCTCCAGAAACTTCAATGGCTCCTTTTCATCTTCTAGGATAAAGCACAAACTCCTCTGTTTGGCATTTAAAGTCTAAGGTAATCTGGCTCCAGGCAATCTTTCCAGATAGAGAAGTTTCACATCATTCATCCCCACTGCCCCCGACTCCAAAGTCCACATTCCAGCCACACTGGCTTCCTTGCTGTACCCCACACACAACATGCCATCTTCTGGCTTATGAACAGGCTGTCAACAAGCCTGGGTGTTCTCTTGCTTCCCCCCTACATCTTGCAAACCCCTGCTCCCTTCAAGGTTCAGATGAATGCGCTCTTTTTCTTGCTTTTTTCTCTTTGTATCCTCAGCACTTTGAACACAGTATGCACTTAAAAAGTTTTTTTCATTCATTCATTCAAATTAAAATACTTATTTTCTAGGTATTTTACATTTATTTGTCTGTGCATATGTTTCCCTGGGTAGACTGTAAACTCCTTGAGGGCAGGGATAGTTTTGATCCTCAGTGCCTAGCACAATCCTTGACATACAGTAAACACTTAATGAATGCTTACTGAATCCCAAAAGATAAAAAGCTGCAGTGATGGCCTCTCAGAACAATTCTAAAAGGCTCTGCTATGACAGTGGAATGCAAGCTACTGCAAAATAAAGACAAATACAAGATGCCGTATGATAAATACTAAGTGAATGGTAAAGCAAGTGCTACCAAGAGTTCACAAAAGGGAATCCATATGTCTGAGAATCGATTAGAGAAAAATAAAAAGGACTACCTTGCTGCAATAAGAAGCTAGTTGAGATTAGATAACATGAATTTGTAATATACCTACGTGTACTTGCACACACATATGTATTTATACTTTATTTGAATTATAGACTGCCCGGTCTGCACTCACATGTCGATTCTTTAAGTCTTCATAAAAGATACAATGAAGCAAGAATCACAGTCCTGAGTAGTTCATCTGTCTAGTGAATTGGCCCCAGGCTGACAGGAGCAGGAGGAAAAACTAGAGAAAGGGATTCAGGAAGGTGGTGAAAGGATTTCTCTAAAGACCTCATGATTTTTATCCTTAAAGAGTGGTAACTCCTATCTGATTAACCACAAATCTGACTGTTAAATCTTTTTCAGTGGCAAGAAGACATATTGCAAAATTAGACAATTCTGCATCTAAAGGAAATCCAAGACAAAATTTTAATAGGAATTAGGCCCAGAAAAGCTATGCAGGGTCAGCCTGTAATTCCCAGATAAACATCTGACAGAAAACAGACCAAAAAAAGTCCCATCCCCCTGAACATCTCTCTCTCATCTCCAACTGCTTATATCATGATATTTTGTATAGCTAGCTAAGTTGGACCAAATGTATGCACAGCCAACATGTCGCAGAAAGAGGTAAGATAAAACAATCCATTCTTATGATGGGAAAGTAAGTAGTACCAGTAACATTAGTACTTATTTCAGTTTGGAAAAATATACAAAACTGAAGAGTAAAGGCATATGTGTTCATTTTAGAGAATTGTTTTCCTATTTGGAGAGGAGTTCAGAGAGCACTTGTTTTCTTTCTCTCCTTGAAAAATGTTTTCAGATGGGCTCAGAAGTCCTATGCATATTTTTTTCCTCCTTCCTTCCTCCCTCTTTCCCTTTCCTCTCCTATTCCCTGCCAAATGGAGAGTAAGCTATTGCCGGCAGGTTCACAGACCCTTTTGCTTCCTCTGCCTACTTAGGACTTTCAATACATAACAAGTATTGTCTAAAGTGACTGTAAGAAAGATGTATTTTTCTGAAGATATATTTCTTTCCTGTTAACAATTTTCTAGATATTTGTGAGCATCTTCCTCTCCCTCCCATGTATGTTTTGTTTAATTCTCTTCTGTGTCTGCACTTTCTCTGACTATGGAATGAGCTACTGCTAGAAGCTGATGAAAGTAGGGTTCTCATGCAAAGAGGTTATTTGACTGAACTAATTTTGATTTTGATGAATAGCAATTTGAATATTTGTCTACAAACTGAAATTTTTCTCTAAGTGATCTATCCATCTAACTATCTAATATGTTTAATATATTTTCACTCTCATTTTCAAAGAAGGACCTATGTGAAAGTAAGTTGTTGCATACATTTGCTAAAATGCACTAGTGAAAGCTCAAAGATCCAAGATTCCTTAGAAACAAGAGGTTCACTGACAATGGAGAAAGCGGTACTTAAAGCTAGACTGTGAAGGAACAGTAGAATTTAGGTAAACAAAGAAAACATGTACTATGGCAGGAACATAAATATGTCATGTTTAGAGGACAAGGGGAATGTCCATTAGTTCAGATGGAAGGTAGGAGTTCCCATCAGGGGCTTTGAGAAGATAAAGTTAGAAAAGTAGGCAGGGGTGAGATTGGGAAAGATGTACTTGGTAGGTTAAAGACTTTGGATATTTTTCCTTTAGGCTGCATTAGAGATAGCTTGAAAGCAGGGTGCTCAATTAGATTATTTCCATAGTCAAGATATGAGACCTAGAGTGGTAGAATTGGAATTGGAAAAGGACAGAATTAACAAACTTTCTTGACTGACTGTATATAGGGGAGGAATCAAACATAGCTACCACGACCACCTGGACAAAAGGAAAAACTAGATAAGATAAGAAACAGTTCAGAAACCTGTAATGGTAGCAGGCTACTGTAATAATGGAGGTATTCAAGACCATTTGTGGAGCTGTCCCTCTGCTTACAACAGATGACAAATTATTGACAAGCTTCTATTTTGTTTTTCAAAAGAAGAACAGGTGGAACTGCTAGTTTGGGTCTAATTCTGACTAATAAGTGGCAAAATAGAAATGACGGGGACTTTGGGAAAACAAGCCCATTCCCGCTTATGAATCTGTGATAGGTAAGGAGAGAAAAGCCAGGTACTGATGCACATCTAGATTTTGAGAAAATTGAGTTTCATATAATTTAGAGATAGGATAGGTTGACATTCTAGAGAGGAAGTAAACTCATGAGTGACCTAAAGAATGAAGTTTTGACAACAAAAATTATTCTAGTGAAAGAGGAAACATCTGAGACATGGATACACAGGACATCCATGGACCACCTTGTATTTCAAAGTCACGTACAGAAAATGGAAGCAATGGCAGATATCTTAGAACAAATACAAGAATGCCAACGATAAGAGAAATGTCAGAAGTCTTGAAACAAAAAGATAAAAAGAAGGCACTTGAGTTACAGAAATTGTGTCACTACATTTAATGCACTGCAATTCATTTACCTGAGATGAAGAGTTTTAAAACAACTTTAGTCGTATTCATATTGAATATTAAATTTACAATAAATCCTTTTGAAAATGAAAAAGAAAAAAAATAGCTTCCATGTTTTGAGCCTTGGTGACCCTGACAAAAATAGAAAAGTCCAAAGGAAAATTTAGTTTTGAAGAACATATGTAATCTTGGTTTTAGATGTCTTTTACATATTGAAGAAACTCCTTTATAATACTAATGATTAGTACTATAATACTAGTGATTAGGATAAATGTTGATGCCAAAACCTACATTCCAGAATTAACATCCTATAATACTTAGACGTTAATTCTGCTATATCAGAATTTAGTTTTATTTTTAAGGTACATAAACTGACCTGTCAAAATTCAACATCCATACTAATGAATACTAATGAAGTTATGCTCAATCATGTTTTAATTAGCTTAAAGAAAGCTTAAGAGAATCAAAGAAATAAAAATCAAGTGAAAGAGAAATAAAAGCTTCCACTCTGAACTTTTAAGTAGTTCAGTGAATCAGGCCTTTTAAACATAGCCCTAAAGTATCTTTAATGTCTCACCTTCTTCATGAGCTTCATCATGGTCCACAAGTTGCTCTGTTGTTTCTAAATCTACAACCTTGCCCCATGGTCTTCTGGGAACATTTGCATTTCTTGGAGAAAATACTTCAGAAACTGCAAATTCTGAGGCCTTCTCAACCCTCTTAAAATGAAAATTAAAAAAAAAATTAAGATGACAGGTATTTTATTGAACAGAATTCCTATTCTATATAAGAATCTGATTCTCTATTGATGACTAAAATGCTTTCACATTTAGTTTCTAAGAATTTCTAGTTTGTGAAAGTTACCTCCTAGAGTTTAACTGACTTACCCAGGAAAAAAAAATCTTTGATCATTTTTGGTAAGCCATATAAAACAAACTCTGATATTTCACTTAATTTTATCCAGTGTCTATGTTCTTTTGTTTTCATGTGGTGAGATTTTTTAAAAATTGTGGTAGTGCTCACTTAAGTACTATTTGTAGAACTAATGAAACCTGGACTTAAATACTGCTAATTTAATTCCATAATATTAAGATTTACACAGAAATATTTCTTCAGGAAGGAAAAAAGAGAATTATATTCCAGGTGGCTACTTGTGAATAGCAACCAACATACTTTTAACATATAATATTTTAGAGCTTGAAGTAATCCCAGAGTTTAACATTTTATAAATGAAGAAAGTGAGGCAGAATCAGCACTTAAACCAAGACGTTTTGCCTACTAGGTGAGTTTTGCCTCCTACTCTTTTCACTAAAATGATATACTTTATAACACTAGTTCTGGTGTCAGAGGAGCTAGATTCAAATCTTGCCTCCAATGCTTACTACCTGACATTTTGAACTAGTCACTATATTTGCCTGAACCTTAATTGCCTCAAATGGCTCTAGATATGTGACCTATTATCCTTGGAATCTGTGACTCTAGAATAAGCTGGGTGGACAAATTCGTAGTCTATCCTTCACTCTTCTATATCTCAAGAATACAAAAAGACTCAGCTTTCGAGGTTTCATTCAGAGGAAGTACTAAGATAGTACTTTATGTCTCTCATTATAAATATTATATAACACATCTAGAGCAGGGGTAGGGAACCTGCAGTCTTGAGGCCACATGTGGCCCTGTAGGTTCTCAAGTGTGGCCCTTTGGCTGAATCTAAACTTCACAGAACAAATCCCCTTAATAAAAGGATTTGTTCTGTAAAACTTGGACTCTATCAAAAGGCCGCACCCAAGGACCTAGCAGGCCACATGTGGCCTCAAGGCTATAGGTTCTCCACCCCTGCTCTAGGGTGTATTACAGTTATATGTTTATATTTTTAGGATCGCAAACCCAGTGTCATCCTTTACTCCTCTCTCTCATCCTCTACATCCAATTTGTTCAAGTCCTGTCAATTTTACCTTTGTAATTATTTCTCACGTGCGCCCCCTTCTTTCTTTTGACACTGCCATCACCTTGGGGCTGACCCTCAGCACGTCATGCCTGGACTATTGCACTAGCCTCCTGTTTGGTCTCCCTGACTCAGGTCTCTCCTAACTCTAGTCCAGCTCTGCTCGACTGTCAAAGTGTTCTTCCTAATTCAAAGGTATGACATGTTGCTGCTGAGTTGTTTCAGTTGTGTCTGACTCATTGTCACCCTATTTTTGTTTTTATGGCAAAGACACTAGTGTGGTTTGCCATTTTGTCCTCCAGCTCATTTTACGTATGAAGAAACTGAGGCAAACACGGTGGACTGACTTGCCCAGGGTCACACAGCTAGTAAGTATCTGAGGTACAATGCAAAAGTATGACATGCCACTCCACTATTCAATAAACTCCAGTGGCTTCCAATGATTACTTATAAGATCAACTACAAAATCTTCTGTTTGACATTCAAAGTCCTTGATCCTCCTCCTACCCCATACCTAGACATACTCTGAGACCCAGTGACACTGGCCTCCTTGGTTTTCCTTTAACAAGGTACCCCATTTCCCAACTCTGGGCATTTACACTGGCTATTCCTCATGCCTGAAATGCTCTATCTTTTCCTCTCTGCCTTTTGGATTCCCTGGCTTCCTCCAAATCCTAACTAAAATAGCATCTTCTACAGGCAGCCTTTATCTCCCTTAATGCTAGCACCTTCTTTCTGCTAATTATTTGCAATTTATCCTATCTATAGCTTGTTAATATGTATGTGTTTGCATGTGGTCTCCATTAGACTGTGAGCTCCGTGAGCAAGGACTATCTTTTTTGCCTTTCTTTATATTCCCAGTCCTTAGCACATAGTAAGTGCTCAATAAATGTTTATTAACCAAGTAACATGTCTTTAATTGCATACCATATCTTTTTCAAATTTTTATACTTTCTTTTATTTAAACAAGTTATCAATGCTAAAAAAAAAGGATAAAGACAGAAGAAATTACATAAAAACAGACTACAATAATTTCAAATAGAAGTTTAACCAATGTAAATCAACTGTCATGACAAGAAGACCAAAAAAGCATGACAAGTGCTCCTAGTAAGCAAACACAATTTACTTCCCAAGTATACAGATGCGGCATCCAAAGACAGCACTGGTTTAAAACATAAGTTAATTTACAAAATCAAACAAAGAAGAATGATAAAAGATTATGAGTAGTATCCACTCAAAACTGAGAGGAGAGTCAAGGGTAAAACCATTTTACAGAAAGGTTGGTGAGAGACTCAACTAAGAAAAGCCATCTTATGGACAATTAGGGATGAAAACAGGAGAACAACAAAGAAAAGAAAAATGGTTTCTGCAAACTCTTTTTCCTATCAAGGACATTAGAGTCACCACAGTTGGACTCCAGCATCATAGTCCCAGGTGTGTTTATAAAAGGGGAAATGATAAAAGAGATAAAGAGACTATAGACAGAAAACGCAGCTGGATTAGACCAAGTGTACATAAAGGAGATCCATAAAGGAGGTAATACAATTATGAGGGCACTTAATAATTGATTCACAAGATAGCTAAATAAAAAGATACCAAAATCATGGAAAAAAAATCTTGGTCCTTATTAACACTGAAAAAAACAATAACCAAGAAAATATCAATGATTACTGATTCTCTCTTATACATAAAATTTTAATGAAAATCATCTGAGTACATTCTTGATGAGAGTATTAATAAGGAGCAGGTAGGCTTTTACATATGATATTCCATAGTTAACCATATCTTTATCATCATATAACTGACTGAAAAATATGGAGAATATGTTCTACAGTGCTTATTGTCAGATTACAAAAAGCATTTGATATATGTTGGAGAAAAATACTGCCTTGACAGGCTTTTTTTTTTTTCCAACAAGGTGTTCCCCATTCATACATCAAAATCATTCAATATTCCTTGACTTATAAACTAGCAGAGATAGCTTTGCTAGATGAAATCTGGCAAATTTCTCCTAAAAACAAAGGCCTATTTTAAAAATAACAATCCTCTAGCAATGTTGTATTGCTTGCTACTAGTCATGAAATATGACAATCTTCAAAGAACTAAAAATTAGTATTGCTCAGAAGGAAATGGGGTTATAGATTCTTTGTGAGAATGAGCAGGCTAAAATACATAATAAATAAGGAAATACAAAGAAGAGCTGGTATAAAGCAGTTGTGTCAAAGTTAAATAGAAATGGCCACTAATCCATGCATCACTGGAAAAAATGTTAACATGAGATCAGTGTTGAGTTTAAATATCATGTCTTTCCCACTAGATTGCGAATTTTGTGAAGGTGCCACTAGCTGCCACTGAGCTCAGCTTACTTGAATTTATTACCTAGAGAGGCATGGTCATGGTGGTAGATAACTTAGAGGAGAACTATCTTGGAGTTGATTTTGAAGGTGAACCTTCTAGAGCAGCCCCACTTATGATACTGGTTAATACTTTACAAATCAGTGCTAAGCTCTAGCTGGTGGTGACAATAACATGCAGTAAATTTCTTTAAAGATTTAAAGGAGAGGGAAAAAATCCCAGAAAAAAATGTGCAATTTAAAAAACAAAACAGGACATAAGTGAATTGTGGATGTCAAGATGCCAATAAAACATTCAGGGAGATTCCTTTGAATATCCATGAAAGCTTTAAAATATAACATAATCTGACTTCAAAACCTCTCTTCTGGCTAGTGTTGGCTTCTTAGGGCTGCTTTCTGTTCATCCTACATGTCATACTTAAAAAAAAATATTTTATTGTTATGAACTCGAGAAACACAAGTGTTTCTATAAACAAAGAACAACCAAAAACAGAAAATTACATTTGAATTCATTCACCACATAAAAATTGTTTAAAAATATTTTATCGATTTCCTTCATAAAAATGTTTTATTATTTCTTTCCTTCCTTCCCTCCTTCGCATTTGTCTTTTGTTGTTGTTGTTGCTATAATTACTACCGCTACCATTTTATTCTTGGTAACTACCTCCTGTCCCCAGGTCCACCTTTATGACAAACATCATCATCAAAAAAAAAAAAAGCCACACACTGACTAGGTCCAAAAATATGTTTCATTCTGAAGTTCCCAACAAAGGTTTAGATGTAAGAACTTTATCAGAAATATCTGCTGAAAAGATTTCCCCCCATTTAATGGTTTCCCTTTAAGGGCACTGATTTTTTTTTTTTTGGTACAAAACATTTAAAAATCTTTGTGATCAAAATTGTCCATTTTACCTCTGTGGTCCTCTCTGTTCCTTGTTCAGACAATAACACTTTCCCTTTCCATAAAGGTGAAAAGTATCTGAACTGAAACTATGCCCTAAAGGACCTACAACTTCACTGTAACTATTGCAGATATCCTAGAACTAGTTCAAGAACTATCAAGAACTATCCTGATCTTACCGGAAAGGCCATTCTATTATTTATAGATAACACCAGAGCTATCTAATACCAATTCTTGGCATTTTGCTTTGGTAATTTTTGATGTTATCTATCATATTGAGGAACAGGCCATTTATTCCAGTGCTTTTAACATAAAGTGGCAATGCATTTTTCAGAAGCTTTTAACATTTGTATTGATTTTGTTATTAACGTGACCTATTATGTTTATAGTTTTCCTAAAATTAAACCAACCCATTATTTCTGCTATAAACAAAAAGCAGTTATAACGTACAATTTTTAGTATGTAGTTGTAGCCTCTTGCTAATATTATATTCAATATATTTCTGTATCAATCGTCATTAGA